GGTCCTGAGAACAAGACACAACAAAGGACATTGTGCACCAATGATGGGGCCACAGGTGGCCTCCATAACACAGTCACCCATTTAAGCATGCCATTCACACATAGGAAACAGCATGGTGCAGTTGTTTGAGTGCTAAGTAGGGCTCTGGGAGACCAGGGTTCACATTTTTGCTCAACCACTGAATCCTTTCTGGGCGACCGTAGGTAAGTTCCATTCTCTCAGCCTCTGAGGAAGGCAGTGGTGGGAAACCCCTTCTGAACAAATTTGGCCAGGAAAACTCCTTGATAGGCTTGCCATAAGTTACAGTCAACTTCACGGCACATGAGAATAACAGCAAAATGATATCATAGAGAAAAATCAGTTTATTGCAGTGGCTTGAGTGTTGGACTACGAGTCATAAATGCCAGGATTTTAATCTCCACTCAGCCATGGAAACCCAAAGGGTGACTCTGGGCAACTCCCACACTCTCAGCCTAAAAGAAAGTCAAAAGCACCTCCTCTGTGGATAAACTGTATGAAGAAAACCCCAAAATAGGAGTTGCCTTAACTCAGAATCAAGGTGAAGGCACACAGCAACAAACAGACACCAGAATACCCATCCATTTGCTATATAACACTGCAAGGTTTGGTCCACGATTAATCTGAGTTTTCTCAGAATGTGATCATCATCTCTATCATTTATTTGGTCAACCAGATGATCTCTTCCTCTCACTCCCCTGTTAAACACAACCTACAGACTGATCAAGAAGAACACAGTCCTCTCCTCACAAACATCACAACTGTTTTCAAGTCTCCTTTCAGTTCATTTTGTATTATGCATTCATTTCCCCATTGCCTTCTGGAATCCATATTCTGGAATTTCAAGGAAGCAGGAGGGGGAGGAGGGTCACAGCTGTTACAGCCCTTACGCCACAGAAAAATTATATTTTCCAATCTGTTGCTATGCAATGAAAAATCATTTCCTACCATCTGTCTGTGTCCAGATCTTCGCAGTAGTAAAGGGGAAGGGGGGGAAAGGATAAACTTGACTGCTTCGGCTCTGAAACACCAAGTCCTGCTCAACCTGCAGTTACTACATTTTGGACTCATGGCTCAGTCACGGGGGTCAATCTCTCTGAGTTTTGGTCTGAACTTGAAAGGGCCAGTACAAAGGAGCTGGACCAGGTTTGGAGATAGAGGTAGTTTCTTTAAAGTTCAGACTAAAACCTGCAGTGGTTTCAGGAGAAAGCACATGGGCCACTTCCACAGTCCAAAGGAACCAAGGGGATGCTGAAGGCTGAATAAGCTGGCTCTGGGGAACAAATAGTTATGCACCATTTGAGAATAAGCAATTGTAAGGCTGGATTCCTCTTGGTTAGTTCCATCTAGAGTAGACCCATTGAATCTAATCATTGCAAGGTGAATCATCAGGTAAGTAAAGTCAATTATTCTGATGGAACAATTGAATTTACCTACCTGATGATTCACCTTGCTATGATTAGATTGCTTCTAGTTGCTTCTAACAATATGATTTAGATCCATGTGAAATTGTTGCACCTGTGGAACCTACCTTATATAAGAGGTTTATTTAAGCCTATATTTTAATGTTTAACTTTCAAGGTTTTTATTCTCCCCCAAAGTGTTTTCTGAACCTAAATCTTTTGGGTCTGTGTATTAAGGGCTTGGGGAGGTCAGCCAGGCCCCCAGGGGCCACATGGGACCCCCTCAAAGGCTATAAATGGGCCAAAGGATACACATTCCCTACCCCTATGGTAGACCCAACAGGGTGTAATGGTTTGAGTATCAGACTACGACTCTGGAGACCAAGATTCGGTTCCCGCTTAGCCATGAAACCCACTGGATGACTTTCAGCAAGTCA